GCCCCCCCCCCCACGAAATCATATTTTGCCCCCTCCCCCCCAGGAAAAGTCGCTTTTTGCTAAATCTATACAAACAAACCAGTGAAGAAAAACAAAAAAACGGAAAGTAAGTTTTAGGCTTTATCCTTTGTCCTTGTTTAATAACAAAATCGATTTAAATTGTTACGTTTTTCCACCACTAAGTAATGATAAATTATTGTTAATAATTATTTTATTTTTTGTGCGTTTTTTCCTTCTTTTATTTGAAATACAAGTATAGTTAGCATAAATTTTAGAGCAAATTTGGATGCTCAGAATGCAGGAAATGGCATTTCTGGGTTTCAAATTTCAAAAATTTTCTGGGGGAGTATGCCCCCACGCACGTGGCCTTCGGCCATTGCTATCCTCCTCTAATAAGTAATGATGAATTATGGTTAACATTTTTTTACTTTTTGTGCGTTTTTCCTTCTTTTATTCCAAATACAAGTATATGTAGCATAACTTTTGGAGCAAATTTGAATGCTCAGAAATGGCATTTCTATGCTTCAAATTTCAAAATTAAAATTCTCTGGGGAGTATGCCCCAGACCCCCTATTCATGCATGGTATGCCGGCCACACACATGGCCTTCAGCCGTTGCTATCCCCCTCTAATATATTATCTCACAGAAAGGTCCCTTTTCAAAAAATGCCCCTCCCCCCACGGGAAAATCCTTAAAAAAGGCCCTGAGTTATGACCAGTTATGAAGTAGGGCGATGGGCCAAGTCCACCATATAATACTTAACAATTTTTATCTGCGACTATTCATCCTCATTATAAACGAGGAGAATGCTTTTTTATGAATACGGGGCTAGTCGGGTAGTCAGTCAAAACGAATATATACAGAGCTAGTCAGTCTATCAATCTAACACAAATTCTGGTTAACATTTCACGCTGATAACAACTACATGATACAATTATTGCCCACTGCCGATCGGTAGTGATGAATTCAGTGGGTCATCATCTCAGCCCTGCTCATAACCAGGCGAGGAGTCATCGAGACCTCCCAACCAATGGTACCTCCTCCATCCCCATCCGAGACAAGTGACCTGTTTACACAGGGAGTATGCTTCAAGAATCCCTGGTTATTTATACGTTCGGCTCACGGGCATTAATCTGACAGCTGGACTCACATGCACTAATATAATCGACTGGAAACTTTGTTACGTGCGCACAGAAGAATTTTATTTCGTAAAATTACGCGCACCCAACACTTGTTTTTGTGCTTAATATCTTTATCTTTCACAGGGCAAGTGCGCACTTGACACTTGTGAAAATAGAATTTTGCGCACATGAAATTTTGCATTTTTTCCAGTCTGGGTGTGACCAGCGACGCGAATCAGCACAATATTAACTTTGTTTTTATTTCATAAAATCCATTTAATTTTAAAGATTTAATTTGAATAATTTCTCAAAGAGAATAGATACATTATATTTATATTTTGTAAAAGTGATAGTCTTGAAGTATTCTATAAGGTGGCAGTGATTACCAATTGGTTGAGATTAATTTCAGGAGAAATAAAAAGAATGACAATCCTACCGCGGATTGCAATGGCAATAACAGGGCGTTGTGTTTTATAGCGCCCTGGCAAATGATAAGTCTGATAAACTTGTTACGTGCAGATGTTATCACATATTGGTGGCGGAACTAATATAAGCCCCCTCACCCCTCCCCGCCGCCCAAAAAAAGATCAGGGTAAAACGCAACCTCGCAAGCCAGGGTCTTTACTTTGCTGAAGCGCCGTGCGGAAGTAATGACCCTGGCTTGCGAGGTTGAGTAAAACGTTTGAACACAATCTCGTTCCCCCAAGCCTGCGATCCTCGGGAAGGAACGCGAGGCTCTGGGATAATCCGTTTCAGGGAGGAATCTGATTGGCCGTTGAAATGGAATGCGTAGTTCAATCTTAGCCAGGATTCCTGGCTTCCGGCAACGGATTATCCCAGAGCCTCGCGTTCCTTTCCGAGGATCGCAGGCTCCGGGAACGAGATTGGTTTGAACAGGGAAAATTCCACTTAAAAATTGGGATAAGTTTGGAGAAGATCTAAAATAAGGAACGAATAAGGTATATCCACAGTTGGGTATATTAAAAACAACAATTTCATGAACTTCCCTCAAATTCATGGAAATTAGTCCCCCCCCCCCCCCCAACAAAAATAACAACTGTTTCGTCGCCACTGATATCAGACTTAGCCGAACACCTTGTTGCGAGTCTGTTCACCTTATCAACCTTGTTGCAACTGATGATAACAACTTGTTCCAGACTTGTCAAAAACTGGAAACAAGGAGTGCAAACGTATAATTAACAGCGCAGAACACAGCTTGCCGCGGGTACTATAGCCGAATTGTAGGAGCAATACTATTTATCTTTGACTGATACACCGCGCACGGTTGGTTACATGAATAATTAAAGCAGGTTTATTTTAACGTGCAGTTCTACACAAAATAGTTCAAAATTCATTTGTGGAGTTCTTAAAACAGAAATGTGCAGTCACCAAATTAACAAAATATAACCTTAACAGTCTTCTCATTTATTCGTTTTCCTTGTGGATGTTCCAGAAGATGCCAGAAATGCTGTTATTGAGCATCAAAAATATAAACGTTTTCTGGGAGAGGACGCCCAGACCCTCCTATTTTCCTCACATACCACTTACATTCTGGGATAATGGAACAGAAGGTAAAATTGGGGCAAGCGAAGCTCCCCAAAAGAGAGTAGAGTGGGGGAACCTAATATTCTTTGCTGCCTGAAATGTAAAACAAATCTTTGCCAAAAGTTAAGAGCTTCTAGATTCAAAATTTGGGGGGAACGCCCCCTAGCTCCCCCATCCAAAATCGAGTTTGTCTAGCCTTTCTCTCCCCCCCCCCCATACCCCATCTTTATTCTGCCACCTATATGCAAATTAAGAGTCTATTCTAATCCAGGTTAAAAAATCTTAAGTCTTAACCTAATCCAACCTAGTACCCAGGATCTTTCCCAGATGACAGAAGGAGAGACTCTGGGAACGAGGTTGAACCTAATCCAGGTTAACCCCCAGTCAAACACCCGATGCTTCGTAACATATAATAGGGATATATATGCAGTTCTAAAATAAACCCTTTTTGACAATAAGTATTCAAATGTCCAATAGTCATATAATATATGTATTTAAAATGTGATTTGAAATCTTACGTTGTTATATCAAATGTACAATGATGAGCTGCGCAGTACACTTTGGTCAGCTCCTATATTTTCACAATACTCAATAATCTATCGAGAAATTTTGTGTTTTACTCATAGCAAAAAACATCTAATAGTTTTGCGTAGAGCATTCAAAATGCGTTGTCTTTTTAGTGTTGACAGTAAATAGCGTACCAAATGTCATCAGACTGATTAGTATACATCAACAGGCTACAAGTCTACAATTTAATTTTGAATTCAAAAAACGCACATTGGTTGTCCACTTGTTTTCGTCCCTGGTATTTTAACTCCGAGTTTGTTTGAGCACCAACAAACTTTAGTTTTCTCATGACATTGAATGTTATTATAATACCCTTGGGAGTCGCACTGTGGAATAAGGACGCCAAATAGATTGTCGTAGTTCAATATTGATGATACATGTTCATCACATGGTCTTGGCAATTGACCTGAAAGATAAATTGGAAATTCTTGATAACATTACTAGTAATATGCAAGGATGTGATCTCTATATATGACCACTATAGACTGTAATACTTATGGAGAGTGCATTAGTGATAAAATAATAAATCAATAATAATAATAATCGAAAACCGATTGAATATATAATATTACATAATTCGACATTCATTTTCTACAAAAGAAGTCTGAGTTATTTTGTAAACAAAATTGGAAATCATACAGTATATACTTCTATTTCTTCTCCACTATCTAGTATACGAAAGCATCATCTCTTGGAAAAACAAGTATAGGCGTAGGGGATTAGGGGGGGCGGGGATTAGGGGGCGGACAAAAATTTGCCCGACCTTGCTGTATATTGGCCGACCAAAACGTTTCCGTATGCTAACATTTCCCCCCCAACTTTTTTCCCCAACCATCTCCAGCAACCTTCATTGGAACATTGACAACATTGTAAAGAAAGCCAGTAAGCGTCTTTATTTTATCGTGTTGTTAAAGCTAAGATATCAGCTAAAGACATTTTAAATTTCTATTGTATGTCCATTAGGCATGATTTCAATTTGATCTAGAACGCGAGCAGAAACGAGCGAGTGTTTTCCCTGGTCAGTTCTGCTGAATAAATATTGGATCACTTTAATTAAACTGCCTATCTTTTTCAAAGTCGTGAAGAAATGTGTTATAAATATTTTAATAACATCATCAATGACGATGGATAGCTTCTCCATCTGTTGCCTGCAAGATTTGAAGAATCTTATAATCTTAGGTCTAAAAGACTTTTAGAGCAGTTATACTGATAGATTTTACTAATCTTTTACTCTTGACATGTGCAGACTATATCGTTAACTTTATTGTTACCGTATTTTAACCATTTTAGACTATTTTTCACTGTATATATTTTTAATGTATTTATCTCAACTGTTCTTGCTTAAAATTTAGATAATTTAATAAATTGTAATGTTGTAATTCATGCGAGGAACCTGTTAGAGGGGAAATTTCAAAGGATAAGATGGAGTGATAAAATTAAGAAGATCATGATATATGAGTTATGAGTTTGACAGGGTAGATGCAATATATTGAGTTACATGGAACCACGAATATATACATGGGGCATATAATTCAAAATATGTACAACAGGTCACCTTCACTTCAGGTAGGCAAACTGATAAACTATGCAAATATGATGTAGACCTGACATGTACGTGGTTATTAGAATTAGGATTGCCCATCATGTCACAAACCGCAATTATGTTTAGTATCTCCAGTATTTTCGGGGGGGGGGGGAGAACCTTGCATAGTACAGGACCTCGAGTCCCGTTCGTGCATTCCCCTTTGAGTTCTCTTGTACGTTTTACTGTCTATATATGTCTGTTGACATTTGTTTGTAAATTAGTTGTATACAAGATAACTCAATAAATTTGTCCAAAAAATTGTTTAAGAATATATTACCGCAATTTGGTATTCCATTGATTCTTGTTCCCACAGTTTCATTGCCATATCTATCTGTACACCAACACTCCTGGGTTATATGATCACACTGCATACGAGAATAGTAACCATGAACATCACATGATGGTGGAGCCTGGCTTGGTTTATCTTCCGACAGAATTTTCCTCCTTTCAATCTCGCACTTTCGTTGCTGTTTACCTGGAATGTCATTAATATCATGTCACATGACCCTCTTTCAGTTTGTAGTGTTTTTTGCAGGGCGGCTTCCGTTGTTTGTCTGTGCAGGGCGACTTCCAAAAAACTCTTACAATGACCATGTTCCTAAAGCTTAATTGTGACAACCAAACAAAAATCTAGCCTCTTCCACAAATCACAGAATGTTTATGCTAACAATTCCACACAGCGTTGCCTGTAGAGATTGCTAACCCAAACCGTTTAATATTTACAGAAATTTCCAATGAATGTAATGATCGTGGTTTATGTACTCAGGTAAAGTTATATTTAGGGTGATACCCCACGTGTGTCCACACGGGACAAACTGAAAATTTTGACCGCAGAGGGAATCGAACACGCGACCTTTCTAGTCCAATGCTCGCGAGTGTATGATATTTCAGAACTCAGTCTAGTTCCTTCGATATCATACACTCGAAACGACTTGACCTACTCGAACCCAATATTTTTCGGGTTCTTTTGTACCTGGACAGCAAGGGTGCATCTGATAGGACGTATTCATGTCCTCAGTATCCTTTCAATAAACATAATTATTTAACATACTCACCACAATAAGGTCTTTGATAAATAGTTGTTCCAGCCACGACACTTCCCACGCCGTCCACACACCAACAGTTACCACTGTCCACATTGCACTGCAATGGCGCAAAGAAACCATTCTCTGTGCATACTGCATCATATACATCATTCACATCTGATTTACTGACTTCATTTTTTCTCTTTTTGAAAGCAACACAGGGTTTCAACGTTTTTTCATCTACATTCAAACATAAAAAAAAACATTAATAAAGTTTATAAGAATTGTTGCTTTATATTAAAACCAAGCAAGATGTAGTAAAAGGATTACCATTCCTACGAAATTACCATTAGCTCAATCAAGTGTTCTACTACAGTCAAACAGACGTAGTTGTGAAGATGGTACAATTGGTAAGGTGCCGGCCGTAAAGATGGGATGGACATACTCGTGAAAAGCAGTTAAATTAACTAAACATAGAGCGAAGATAACTTGCGTCAGAAATCATCTATAACAAGATTTTTTTGTTTTAAATGTTGATAGGGATTTCGCTGAAGAACAAGATAGATCAAGAATGAAGAGATCATGAAGAAGAGCATGTTGGGTGGCAAACATAATGATATTATATAGCAGGGGCCGGTTGTTCAAAGCTGGGTTAGCTTAAACCCAGGTTAAGCTAAAATTCAGAGCAAACTTCCTGACAGCTCACTATACATTTGGAATTATTTCTTCAGAGATCTTGTCTGGATCGATAGGAGACTCCTATTAGGAGTTTACTTCTCTGACGTTTTGAAATAAACAGACGCGCAGAAATACATAAACAAAAAGAGCAGGTTAAATTTTAACCTAGGGTTATGCTAACCCACCTCTGAATAACCGGCCCCAGGAAGGTACGAGAAGCAAAGATAAAATGGCATTGGCGCGTGATATGACGAAGAGAGCCTAAAGTTATGAATCTGGATATAAAGAGGAACAAAGGACTGAGGATAGCGATAGAGAGATATTGATGGGTGATGGACGGTAAAAGAAAATCTCTAACATCAAGGAATAACAGGGGATATGACAAGGGGGAGAACAGCCAATTCCTGGCCAAGCAATCTTGGATGAGCGGGCTATAGAAGATTTTAATCTTCTTAAAAGAAGTTCTATCTTTTAAATCTAGGTATTAAATTTCGACTTTCGAATAAATAAATTTTAAATTTCAAACAAAACAAAATTTTGATGAACCAGCCGGAAATATACAGAAGAGCTACATGTGCTTGTTTGACTTACCACAGATGGGCAATTTTCCTTGCATACGTGTTCCTTTAACCATTGATCCATATCTATTAGTACACCAACACCACGTTGTATCATTATTACATTGAAGGGGAGCATAATAACCTTCATTATCACATACTGGTATGTAGACATCCTGACGTTCACCAGTTACCATGTTGCTTACGTGTGCCAAATGTTCATCACATGGACCATGGAGACGAGGCACTGCTGGAAATCGCTTTTCATCTTAAATAAAGGTAGTAAAGAGTTGAAACATTCAAGTTGCAACTTGAATGTTTTGTACATGACAGTATATTTTCCGTATTCTACACATTTTAGCAGATTTTAGAAATGAAAACCTGGAAAACAATATACTTAAATAAATTAAAGAACACTACAATTTTTAACAATATAGATTGGGACAATCGTGTTTTCACGTGCATTTGGTTGTAATATACCATTTCGTGATACATTTTCCCATCCTTCCCCCCCCCCCCCCATGCACCCGTTTCAATGTTGGTGTCTCGGGAAACGGGGGGGCGCTACGCCTTTCAAATTATATGAAATTAGCCTACAGCACCCGTCCCATTGTTTTTGGCAAAGATTGCATTTTTTACTTCTAAGAATCCATTTGCGCATATCAGATTGGATCGATCCCAGATCAGATTGGATCGATCCTTATCTGCCAATAACGATGAATTACCTGCATTTGCGCATAATACTACAAATGAATTTTGAGTTTCTGTATTACTTACGACATTCTGGTTTTCCCTTCGTGATAGATCCCTGTACTTCTTTCCCATCGTGCATCACGCACCAGCAAAACGAGTTAGTTTTGCTACATTGTGCAGGCTGGAAGAAACCACTCCCCTCACAGAGTGGATCATTAACTTTGTTGTTGGGTGGTAATTTTGAAATATACGATTTCAGAATATGACATGGTCCGTCTTCAATTGTGTTAAGTGCACTAGCAACTATATTAAGGATCAAATTAAAATATATGAAGCATATCAAATTAAAAATACACAAATTAGGAACAGTTTGAGCAACCTCGTACCCAGGGCCAGTCGTGAGTTGAAGGCAGCGACATGCCGCCGCCTTCAATTCGCGGCTAACCCTGGGTACGAGGTTGCAGTTTGAGGGGGCACATTTGGAGTTGACATTTGGAGGTGAAGGGGCACAGGAAAATATACTCGGCAAAAAGTGCCTGTTGTAGAAACTGCAGTAATGATATTTCCCGCTACATCTTCTATGTAGGCCTACAACAAAATGGAGAGCCGTAGGTTATAATACGGTACCTCCAGGTCAAACTCGTACATACAGTATGCCCGTTCGCAGGTTAGGGTGTGGGCTAATCACCTAATAGGCGAACGGGTATACTCTGGGTACGAGATTGCCTCCAGATTTTACTGCTCACCTAACAGAGCGTAACGGTTCATACCCCATGAAGAATTCCCCCTGAGCGTTTTAAGTACTAGTTAAAATATGAGCAGCTGATCTTTACGGACATTTACAATGGCGAGCGCGCAGCGCAAATCATTGTTAAATGCCCATAAAGATCAGCAGCTCATATTTTAACGTACTTGTAAAATGAATTTATATGTTTACTTACTTACTAGTATTTACTTACTAGTATTCTCTGTCTGCCCATGGGGACAATCTCACGCTTCATTAGCATGCTATTAAAACTTAAATTAGTGTTGTTATTACTTTCATAAACATCCATGCTTCTCAATTAGTATTGTTAACTTTCATAAATATCCCTCTACACGACTTTCTGATCTTTAATGCGGTTTACAAGTGTGCACATGTGACCTAAATACCGCATCGTGATTTGTTTGTGGCCTTATTAATTATTCATGAATTTTACAAGTAATATATGAACAACGAGAGCGAGTGTGCGCGAGTGTTTTCATACATTGTTTTCGAGTATTTGGATATCCCGGTGAGACACTCGCTCTCGTTGTTTATATGACTTCTCTGCCTCGTACCCAGGCGTCTCTTTGTAAGAAAACAGTGATGCGCATATGACGAGTTTACATGAAGTATTATAGTGGGGAGAGATGGCGAAGGGGCTGATGGGAAGAGTGCAGCCCTTCGCGCGTCGCCTGCCTACCTGAATACTTCATGTATTGTAATTATTTAAAGCGCCTGGGTACGAGGCAGATGACTTCTCAAATAAATCGAGACGTAACAGAATGTTTTCGTTTGTTGATTTGAATAGAATTCTTAACTAAGAGTAACGTAATTAGGAATTCTATTCAAGTAATTTTGCATGCGTAATTAAGATGTTTGATGAAAACACTAGTGACTTTCATCAAGTTTCACCGGGTTATCCAAATGGCATCTTGTGATCAAATAGGTGATCATCATTGGCTGAATTGCTCATGAATTATTAATGAATTTGAGAAGATTGACACAATAGCACACTTCTACTTACAGCAATTTGGCGTTCGCTTGGTTCTTGATCCAACAAGTTCTTTTCCACGTTTATCTACACACCAACACATTCCAGTATAAACATTGCATTGAAGTGGCGCGTATTCTCCATCAAGTTCACATTGAGGAACATGTGGCTTCTTTCTCAGAGATATTTTCAATGCTTTAAGGCGGTTGGCAAGACATGCTTTCCCATGAGGATTTGGTATTTTCGCTAAACAATAATGAAACAGAAATATAGTCTTTGGTGGTTTATTAAAAACTCTATTATTTACACCTGGTACAACATTGATGCTGATATATATTACTACAGGTTAATATCACACTCAATATTTTACTTACCACAATCAATATCTCCTCTTGTTCTTGTCCCTCTCATCATCTTACCATTCTGATCGGAACACCAGCAATAGTTTGCATAACATTGTTTGATATCGTAAAAACCTTGATCATTGCATTGTGGGTTGAATAAATTACGCCGCAATACAATGTACAACTTCTTTCTTTTCTCTTTATGTCGTATGCAAGGACCATTTGTTACTTTAACGAATGTCATGTTCATTACTCTCTCCGCTACAGAAAAATCGGATGATAAGATATGAGATAGACAACGTTATTTTTCGTTACTAAGAGATGGTACACTACTCAACCCTTAACGGGAATCCCATTAGACAGAACAGAACAGAACAGAACAGAACAGAACAGAACAGAACAGAACAGAACAGAACAGAAACATACGACCCCCAATAAATTAGCGTTGTTTAATGAACGAGGCATATCATAACATGAATTGCAATAAAATTAGTTTTTCTTCGTTCTTTTGTCCAAATTTCATCACGTCAAATGACATCATATCCGAAAACTTAAACAGCGAAAAGATTCATTAAGGCAAGGATTTTTGCTATAAAGCAATATAACATTACTTCTTAGACTGACCTAAATATTACACAAACAAAAATATTTGGGGAGTCGCACTTTAATCTAGCGCGCGTATTCAGATTGTGCGCACATCAGTGGCATTAATTGCAGTAAGAGAAAGTCACATTGTGCCCCTTCTCTTCTCCACTGTGTACTTTCTAGCGTACTAGCAAAATTTTTATTTTTTTAAAAACCTCTGTTGGGAGAGAGAACTGTCCCTGTGCATTATAACACTGACTTATAATGATTTGACGCTGCTAACTCAGTTTTCAGTTCAGGAATATAACATCATTGAGCAACTTACGACACTCTGGTTTTCCAAACATCACCGTTCCCTTGAGTTCCATGCCATCTTGTTCCACACACCAACAATATCTCTTATCTCTGCTGCATTGTAACGGACGAAAGACGCCAGTGCGTTTACATACTGGGATATGTATCGTACCAATTGTTGGTAATTGTTTGATATAATTCTTGAGCTCATAGCAAGGTGTTTTCGTTTGGCTTGTAAAGGCATTTGTTACTGGAAAAGATTATAGCAATTGATATATTGGCTATTACCATTGATTATAGCAATTGATTATTTTCACCGGATTCCTGGGTCGTTTTACGCAGGAAAAGGACTTTTAATTTTCGGCTTCCCACGTACGTGAGCTATGGTTATGTGGGGGTGACATAGGTTTGGCTCGAGCGAGCCGCAGGCTGCCTCCAGGAAACCCGCAGACGTCTTCTGAATAAAATATGTATCGCCTCCGGGCAGACAGTTGGTTGCCCTCGGTTTTTGTCGAGTTTCGTTTGAACTAAGGTTAATTATATAAAAATTACTTACGACATTTCGGCGTCCTCCTAGTTCTTGTATTCTTAATCTCCTTCCCCCACTTATCTGCACACCAGCAATAACCTTGTGCAGTATCACATTGTAATGGTGCGTACGTTCCATCACGAGAACACAGTGGAACAAATTGCTTCGTCTTCATGGATGACTTTAGTCCTTGAAGACGTTCAGTAAAACAGCGATTTTTTAGAGGTCTTGTTGGACCAGATGAAGAATCTGATTTGTTAGAAAAAACAAAACATTGGTACAATCGAACTCTGTAATACGGACTCCGTTTTAGGAAAATGTCCGTTTTAGGAAAGTGCCAGTTTTAGGAAAGTGTGGATTTTAGATAGAGAGGTGTCCGTTTTAGATAGAGAGCTGTCGGTTTTATATAGAGAGGTGTCCGTTCTAGGGCGGTCACCACCATGATAAATCTTGTCGTATATGTATAGATTAAGTATAAACCCAATATGTAAACTATATGTATGGAAGTACAAACTCAATAAATTATATAGTTTAAAACATGGGCATCTACACTCGCTTAACAAAATTCACACTCGAAATTTCCATCTATAAAACACATCTAGTTTAATTAAACATTCCTAAAGTAAATAAGTACAGCTTCTACTGTAGAACGTCAAGAATCTTAACATTTTGAGAGGAAGGAATGTTTGGAGTATGACCCCCTAGAAACCAGTTGTGGAAAAGAGGACTCACTGTCGTACAATCGACTGCTCTGCATTTCCTACTTAAAATGTTCAAACATACACATACCACAATCAACGTCTCCTTTCTTCTTCGAGCCAGCAATCAGATTTCCATCACGGGCAGAACACCAACAGTGACCAGAATTGCATTGCTTTTTTGCATAAAATCCGTCTTCATTGCAATTTGGATCAAACATATTCTTTCGCTTGAATTTCTTTTTTAAAATTTTTCTTTGTCTTTTTTCTCGAGAGCAAGGACCATCTGCCACGCCATTGGCTGAAAACGCGTCACCAATGGTGTTCGTTGATTCGTCCACTAAAATTGAAATTAGTTGAAATTATTAAACTGTACAAAAGTTGAATAGGGCGATGGGAACCCTAAATTGTAACCTGTACATGTGCATTTGTGTGGCTGCCTCGTACATTGCTAAAACTATCATATGAACTTCAGTATATATGTTGGTTAATATCTGTCGTCACCACCAGCCTCATACCCAGGCGCAAATAACTAAAAATAGGCCCACTACAGTGTTTTTATATAGATCAGTAGCTAAGATGAGCAAGCGCGCGGGGGTGCTTGGGGAGGACTCGACGGGGCTCTCAATCCATAGAGATTATAAATAACACTAGAGGAGGCATTGTAATCTTAATTCAGTAAAAAAAAGGGAACGCGACTATTGGGGGGCAAATTCAAGTCCCGGATGTGAATTCGTGTTCCAATTGGTGACGAGTTTCAAATCAGCCAATGAGAGCACGATTCTATATCCGGGACTTGAATTTGCCCCCCATTAGCTGCGTTCCCAATTTTTAAACTCGATGCCTCCTCTAGTGTTATTTATAATCTCTATGTCTCAATCACCCTCGCGCGCTCTCTCAGCTTAGCCACTGATCTATATAAAAACACTGTAGTGTGCCTATTTTTAGTTATTTGCGCTTGGGTACGAGGCTGCGTCACCACACTTACCCGTGTGGATGGTTAGGTGCAGACGTGATCAGCGAATGATCTAGGGATTTGAGTTACTTGGATTCACTCTGAATAACGTGAACATTTCCATTCAGAACATGACCACCGAACGTCTGTACCTTATCATATTGGCTTCTTCTCTAAGCACAGTACTACTCAGTTGGCTATGCGTTAGCGAATGACACGTGAGTCTGCTCGGCACTCTCTATATATGCCTATATCCGATACCTTGAGGGCATAGGTCGTGCCCAGACTGCGCGCGGTTCCTATGATATTCACCTTGGTTATTATTTTATTTTTTGTTTGTTTGTTTGTTTGTTTGTTTGTTTGTTTGTTTGTTTGTTTGTTTGTTTGTTTGTTTGTTTGTTTGTTTGCTTGTTTGCTTGCTTGCTTGCTTGCTTGCTTGTTTGTTTGTTTGTTTGTTTGTTTGTTTGTTTGTTTGTTTGTTTGCTTTGCTTTGCTTTGCTTTGCTTTGCTTTGCTTTGCTTTGCTTGCTTGCTTGTAACTAGAACAGTTAATAACTGATATAGCTACTATCCAGACTAGTTAAATAAAGTTATTTGCCAACATTTCTCTTTTATTTCCTGCAGATAATAGTCCCCCAATTGTCACAATAACGTCTGATGACAGTCCTTATTCAACACGAGCTCCGTCATTCACATGGGAATCCAATGAAGATGCGACGTTTAAATGTGCCATAGATGACACACGTTTCTACCAGCCCTGTGGCCAAGGACTTCGTGGTCGGCATACCGCCAGGAATGTGCCAGATGGCAAGCATGCATTTTTCGTACAGGGTACAGATAAAGCTCGAAATATCGGACAGCATGTACGATACATATTCTCAGTTGGTAAGTCTTACTGTTGAAGAGTTTTGTACAAGGAAATTTTGAGTGTAAATTTAATACATTTATTTAGACCTAACGAGGAACAGCTACGACAAATGCGATTCCGACCATAGATATCTTATATATACTAGATAGTGCATCTAATTATTCTGCAATTCAAAAATTGAAGCCGTGATTGCAGTCTCAGGTCGTTCCCATGAAATGAGAAGATTCGTATGTTTTCTATTTCTTATAGTTTTTAAACTATTCAAGTAATGAAAGTTATTGTTGTTTTTAAGCGTTTATTAGCAAGTGGGAACGACCAACATGGCCGCCATCTATTCAAATGGGGGTAACCGCTGGAATATTCTTGGCTTCAATTTTACTAAAAGAGATGCGCTATCTAGTGTATATAAGATATCTATGATTCCGACGCACTGCATGCTCTAACCAACTGAGTTACAGAGTCCATGCAGTTGTCGGGCTCTAACCGTCTACAGTCACAGAATAACTACAATTTCATACACTTAGTCTTTTAATCAACTAGATATGGCCATCTCTTCATAATTATCTTACATTGAGCAAAATATCCATAACTCATTACTGGCTGCACCAAATTCAAATATCCTAGTTCCTTATAGAACTAATAGACTCACTCGTCAATACTTCAAAATTTCAGGTCGATAGCTTGTATTTGTATAGGTTTTGAAAAGTCACAAAAACAAATTTGGACAGGCCCTATAGAAATGGCAAATTTGAGAAAATACGCCTCAACGTTTTGTGCCACTAACTAGGTTGACTATACAGTATAGGGCTCAAAATACTCCAGCTTCAAATTGACTACCTTCCTTTCCTGTTAGATCGTCAATATAAGATTTTGGCTACTGGGGCATTACAGATTAGCCCCCAGTTGCCACAAAATTTTGTTTTTCTTACCATTTACCTATTAAAGTACTATCTTGAAAAATTATACCCGCTTAAATGTTCTTCACATAGTTGCGATCTTTCTAACGATATAGGCGATATTTGCTAAAAGTGAACTTTAAAATTTCACTTTTTTATAAGATAGTACTTTCATAGGTAAATGGCAAGAAAAACAAAATTTTGTGGCAATTAGTAGCTAATCTGTAATGTCCCTATAGCCAAAAAATGTCCTTAGGGTATACCCTAATATTATGCCAATTTGTGTGGTTGTATCATAAAATGCACAATTTTGCTACCAATCTGCCACACTAAACGGGCCTTTTTTGTTGTTCTCTAGATACAAATGGTCCTCAAGGGTATTTGACCAGCAGTGTACCACGAACAACAAAGAATTCTAGAGTACATCTAACATGGCAGGCAACTGAAGTTGCAACGTTTAAATGTACTGTTGATGCAACGACTGTCGATTGTGGTTCTGGGACGCGGGGTGAATTTACCACTGACCCACTTCCGGACGGAAAACACACATTCACATTGGATCTTGTGGATAAAGTGGGAAACAAGGGCGAGCCTGTGACTGTCAGTTGGGACACAGGTATCGTATAGGGATAATATAATAGATAGATCGTTTAATTATCACTCAATTTGTCGCACTGAATTACATGGTGATAATTGTATGAAAATTACGTCAGATGTAAAACACGAGAGCGAAGCTCGAGTATTTTATATCTGATAAAGCACAGACTGTGAGCGTTTTACTGTCGTTCCAATTGAAGTGTTGCTGAAATATTGATTCAATACATTACCTCGGGCCGACCAATTCATTTCATCAAGTTCCTCGAAATATTCACACACTTCCTGGTATAATTGTAAACTTCCTGTTGAATAGTTTGAATGCACCAATCACCTTTGTTGTTTGTGCAACTAACCAATCATAAATAGAAAGGAAGTGACCAGAAATGATCAAATACTTGGAATTGGCTCTTTCACAGGAAGTGTATGAATATCTCGAGGAACTTGATCAAATGAATTGGTCAGCCCGAGGTAATGTATTGAATCAATATTTCAGCAACACTTCAATTGGAACGACAGTAAATGACTTAAAAAACTACTCATTTGGCGAAGTAATTTTAAAGATAATTGTTGTCCAAGCCGAGAAAATCAAAGCTAAAGTTTATGTAAATGAACATGATTTTTTATCACACATAAAACCTTTTTAATTATATTTTCCCGCTATTCTACTGGACAGTTGAATTACAGGTAAGAATTTAAACAAAAGAGCTATACTTATCAAGCTTTCTTGCCATCCTACTTTTCCTACTTTTTCCTACTTTTCTTCAACTTTCCTACTTTTCCTATTTTTTATTAAAAATTGCTTGATTTTCCTACTTTTTCTTATAAAATCCTACTTTTTTAAGACCGCTTGAGGAATCAGTATGTTACAGCTCTCGTAATTAGATCTATAGGACTCGTAATTTTTATTCTCTATATTTGTGTCCCAGATGACAAGATTTCAGGAAGAGAAGAAGTACATTTTCCGAGTATAAAATTCCATAGAATCTCTAGAGTTATAATCAATAAATTAATGAAGATCTAGAGATTCCATTCATAGATGAATGAGTACAAAAAATATAGTGAGCACCAAAAATTCCCCATCAGATATCTAATAGTCCACCCCTTACCCCATATATCCTAGGTGGCCAATTTTGTATATTTTTGTGTTATTTGCATCTCAAAAACTCCTACTTTTCTACACATCTTCCTACATTATTCCTACTTTTCTTAAAATTCTAGTCCTACTTTTATCCTACTTTTCTACACAACGATGCCAGAAAGCCTGACTTATTTACATTGAGCCAACCTGTTATTAAAAAGGAGTTTTTGTACCGTTCTATGTTAAAGTTTGGAATGTTAATTATTTTACTATTTCTTAATTCATAACGAGAGGAGAAGATACGTCTAATTTTGAGATAAAACTAGATATTTTGTTATTAGGATTTTCTAAAATTTGATTAAAAAAATTCACGAAGAATATACAATTCCCATTATAGACTAATTTTTTATCTTGGCAGAAAAAGTATATTCCCGGAAAGAGCATACTAAAATGAGTAAAATTGCGAAGTTTGGTTGCGAACTTGCGAAATGTTGTAAAATGCGGAAAATATAGTCTTGTAAAGTTCGCAAATTTTGTATACTTTATTATTGCGTGCGGAACTTGCTACCACATTTGGGCCGAAAATGGTAGCAATTTCCGCACGCAATACAAAAGTGTACACAATTTGCAAACTTTGCAAGGTTATATTTTCCGCATTTTACAACATTTCGCAACCAAACTTTGCAATTTTACTCATTTTAGTATGCTCTTCATTTGCTTCTCTTTTCGTAGTTTTTTAAAAATTAGTCTATAATGGGAATTGTCTATTATGACTGAGAAAAATGAAAGAATTTCACAAAACCGTTCTGATCTTTATACACCAACAGGACTTTCTGCTATTTCACTTGGCCTATATAGCTACAAAACTCTGGTTGTGAATATATTTGATTTTTATTATTAATTATTCTAGATTCCAGCAGCCCGGTGATTCAATTTGATCCAAACCTAC